CGTCGGTGGGGACATGATAAGTCAAATTCAAAAGTGAGATGGTAGTAGCTGCTTTGTTTTACCCAAGGAATAGGGCACTTGGTATCACAGTTCCTGAGGTTTATGTAAAGCAACGCGGAATCCTGCAACACAGATTGGATCTTTGCAGTGGATATGATTGGTCGAGACTTCGCGCTTTGTTTGAAATGAGCCAATCAAACAACGCCAGCGAGCCTTGAACAATATTGGCCATTGACAATTGACGACGCTTGTGGAGGTGCGTTTTGGAACAGTACTGAAATCTCCAGGTCCATGCAGGATGCCATGCGATAGTTCTCAAGCACTTTTGATTTCAGCAGTGTTCCAACAGTGGAGGAATCGGTATGTTTCTTCGTGCAGCGAGTGGCAACAAATGTTATTTCATGAGGCGTTGTTGTAAACTCCATAATTAGTGATTTTTAAGCTATAGAACAACGTAAAAGGAGGAATTTACACCCAAACACCAGCAATGTTTTATCCTAGCACGTTTTAAAACATTTTTTCTCAAACAAGTCGATTAATGTGTCAACAATGGTCATCGTCGGGAAGGCCATGGTAGGCGGTCGTTGGGCTCTTGAGTTCGGTCACATGCGCGGGCGGTGCCAAAACGCAGTGGCCACCAACGCGCATCCAGCCAAAGTCGTGCTCCAGCACCAGACTTGTCGCGTGCGCATCCAAATGTTGCAGGACCAAGCGCTTGCCGGCGTCACGGTAGCGATGCGCCGCTTCTTTGAGCGCCGCCACCGCTGAAAAGTCGGCCAAACGGCACCCGCCGACGTCAATGACCACGTCGTCCGGGTCGGTCGCAATCTCCAGGAGGTCCCGGAAGCGCGATACAGACGAAAAGAGCAGTGTGCCGCGGAGGGCATAGATCTTTCGAGTCGATGTGGCGTGCGTCTCGACATCGAGAAAGGTGCCGCCGACCCATGCGTTGACAAGCGCTTGCCAGATGACGCCGGCGATGACCGCGACGGCCAAGTTGATGGCGGCTGCCAGCGCTGTCACAAGCACAATGGCAACGGCGTCCGAGACCGGAAGGTACACGAGCAGTCGGAACGTCGGCCAATGGAACGTGTGCGCAATGATGACGACGAGGATGCCCGTGAGACACGCGACAGGCACGCGCTCGACAACAGGGCTCGCAAACAGCAGAATCATAAAGGTCACGAGACCGCAGACGACACCGGACACGCGGTGCCGCCCGCCGTTGAGCACATTCCCGGTCGACTGGCCAATCATGGAGCAGCCCCCCATGCCCTGGAAGAGCCCGCACACAAGATTGCCGAGGCCTTGCGCGATGCATTCGGCGCGGCACGCCGCCATCGACAGCGGCTCTTTGGTCAAGTCGACAATCGCCTGGAGCGTCATGAGCGACTCAAAGAGCCCGACCGCCGCGAGACTCGCCGCCACCGAGATGACGAGCGACCAGTCCGTGACCCGCGAGAAGCCTGGTATCGCAAACGTCGGTAGCGCCCCCGCGAGCTTGGACGTATCGCCGATCGTGCGGACGTCGTATCCGAGGAGCGGGCGGTTGATGCCAAACTCGAGGCCGACACCGAGCAGTGCGACAACGAGAGTCGGCGGCACGAGCCGACCAACGACGGGCGTCCGGGGGAAGAAGTGCATGACAAGGATCGTCACGAGTACATGCACGAGCGTCATCCACGTCGTCGCACTGCTGGCGTCCATCCAAGCGAGACCGTGAGCTTGTTCGCACGCGCCAAAGAGCAAATTTGGCTTGGTGCATTTCTGAAAAGTGGTTTTTTGAGATAGCAACATCATGAGCGCGAGGCCATTGAGAAACCCAATGTGCGCCGTGCGCGGGATCATCGAGAAGAAGCGCGAAAGCGAAAAGATACCAAAGAGCAGCTGCATGAGACCGGCCAGAAAGACGGCGACGAAGAGATGCTCGACGCGCGCTTCATACGAGAGGTCGCGGAGCGCGCCGGTCCCGCTCGTGATCGTGGGCATGACGACGCCGAGTGCGCCGGCCGCACCGGCAATCGTGGCGGGCACACCACCAAAGAGCCCAACGAGGATGCCAAAGAAGCCTGTGGCGTAGAGACCGACGACCGGATCGAGGTTGGCGACGTAGCTGAACGCGACCGTCTCGGGCACCTGGAGAAGCGTCGCGGCGACGCCGCAGAGCACTTCTGTCCGAAGCACTGCAAGGTTGGCATAGTAGAAGCGCGCTGACGTGGCAACGTGCTGTGGCAGCGCGCGCATCGCCGACATCTTGGCGCTGGCGGCGCGTTGGCGGCCGACACTGGCGCGGACGCGCTCGTAGCCATGTGCTGCGGTGGCATGCACCGTCGCCCAGAGCGAGAGCGCCTCGTCGCCGGCGTCAAGTTGGATCAAGGACGGGGCGGCGGCGTCGCCCGTGCTCGTCGCGCGCCGGCGTGGCCACGGCTCGGTGTGGGTCATGCTTCTTGCGACTGCGCAGTAACTGGATAAGATGCAAACGCGCGGTGATTGGCCATCTCGCCAAGCCATTTCAGCCAGTCACGGACGAGAGCAATCACTCCGCAACCAACACAGCGACAAATGGCCGACGGGGCAGGGTACGTTGGGTTCACAAGGCTCGGCGCCGGCATGCCCGTGAATCTGACGGCGTGGATGATGGCCCATGGGAATTTGCATATTCGCTTGCACGGTAGTCGCAGGATGATGATGATTCGTGCTTGCCAGTGTGCTTGAAAGGTACACTGTGAGCGATGCATTGGTGCGATGCTGGAGCTGTGGAGCTGAGCTGTGGAGCTCAGCAGGTAGCACATTGAAGCTATGGAGATCAGCAGGTAGCAAATTGCTGAGCTGTGGATGTGTGTATGCGACGATGGGTACAAAGCGCGTACTACGTAGGTGTGTGAACGAGCAATGCTCCACGCAACGCTGTAATAGCGCTCGGTTGCTCTGTGCATGGCACCGAGAGTTGGCGCTGAGACCCACGAAGACTCCATCTACGACTAAGATTGGCACTAAGTCTAAGAAGGATACCCGCGGCGTCCGCGCTTGATCTTGATAGCGCGCCAAAATCGGCAAGCGCCGTCAACGTCAATACTGCGAAACAGCATATCAATTGAGATATTGAAAAATAGAGGTTTTTGGAAAGGCCACTCGATTGGACAAAAAGACAGGCTTTGTGCTGTTTTGTGCGCTTGGATTGGGTGAAATGGCGGCGCAGCGTCGAGATTCCATTGCCGACAAGAGCACGCGGGACGATGGCGTCAACGCTGCTGCTGCCGCTGACGCTTCCACCGAAGACGGCTGCGCGTGCCAAGCGGCCGCTGGGGAAGCTGCCAGCGACGAAGGCGGCGCCCACCAAGCGGCCGCTGGCGTCGTCCAAGAAGTACGGTGGCCCGCGCCTCATCACGGCCGCTGGGAAGAACGTGTGTCTCCTGTGCCGCAGCGCCCGGCGCCATAAGAAACGATGCCCGACGCAGATGGAGCGCGTGAGGTCCGCGCCGTGGCTGCCGCAATGCAATCTCACGCCCATGTCTCTAGGAGCGACTACATCATGGACGTACCCGAGGTGGCCGTCGCCACAGCGCCACCCATAACGACCTGCGCTACCAAGACGACCGACGACGATAATGACGCGTATAGCAGCGTGGGCACCGAGAGCGAAACGCGGCTGTTCCACCACTTTCTGCCGCGCTGCCCGGCCGACGACTTTGGCGCGATGGCCACGCAGTGGAACACGCTGCTTCGCGCGTGGCGCTTGTCCGACTGTGTCGAGATCGAGGTGACGACGGGCTGTATCACAGTACGCTTTCTCTGCCTACGCATGTAGCTCATGGCTTGTGTGCGTAGCTGGCCGACGTCATGTTCAAAACGCCCCAGCACCTCGCGACGTACGCGCGGAGCGTGGCGCCAGTGCCCACCGCAAAGCCTCGCCGTCGCCGTCGCGAAGACAACGATGACAGTAGCCCCAACGCTGCGAGCAAACGACAGTACCTGCCGTGTCCCCACTGCGGACACAAGACCCGGCGCCACTATGGCGACGTCGGCGACAAGTGCGCGCTCTTTGTCTACTACAAGCTCCGGAGCTTTGGCGCGACCTCGTATACGTTTGACCAGGCGATCCTCGACTTTGAGCATTTTCAAAAGCCTTTGACGCTACCTCAGCAGCGCAATGGCAGCTACATTGTGTAAAGCGAGATCAATACGACGCTATCGATGGGGGATGCAGTTCATCGAGCCTAGGGTTAGCGACAGACCCTAAACCTATATAGCGATAAGACCCCTTCCATCGCCACGGCTATCCATGCTGTCTCCATGCTCGTTTGGCACATGGCGAGTTCGTTTTTGGCACTGTTAGGTCAAGCGACCCACTGGTTTAGCGACCACATCGAGGCACGGACATGCTACGTGGTAGCGGCCACCGAGTGCGGCCACCGAGTGCGGCCACCGAGTGCGGCTCGTCTCACATCTCTAGCCACTCTCTACATGCCTTTCCAATGAGGTCTTAGCCCGCCAGCACCGCTGCGTCATCGAAGGAACAAACGAGGCGGCTCTCTCTTCATATCACGACCACCACCACGCCCACCATAAACGCTAAGAGAATAAACTTCGTACAGAAAACGTCATCTATCGTCCTTCATTCCGTATCGACATCGACTACACTAGCTTCTACTCGGCCGTCGATGGCGTCGTGGGCGACGTGATCCGGTCGAGGTACCCGCCTTCGTCGCAGAGTTCAAAGAAGATGCCTTCGCCGGCGTCGATGAGCGACTGCGGCGTGTCGCACTGCACGCAGCGGCCTTGGTCAAACACCATGATGCGGTCGCAGTC